GGTTGAGCTATAGGCGCCGAGCCGGAACACCAGGTCTATTAAAGCAAACCTCCCAGATTGTTAAGAAGTAACATTGTTGAATGTTGAAGCCTTTTACTAATTATACACAGGTATGGCATTTCCAGGGGAGGCAAAAAAAAAAAAAAAAAAGAAAGATCACAAAGATCAAGGACTAGAAGCTCATGTAGGTGCTGAAACTGGACTTGAGGGAATATGGTCAGAAACCAGGTTGCTCAGTAGTCACTTTTATCCCAAGTGTTGCTGCTGTCACATGCTTTCTGCTTTTTAGACACCTGCTGTCCACTAGGATGGATACATGCCTTGCAAAGCTGCTTTTACTTCTCACATACTCGGAAAAATTGGCAGGAGAGCAAAGATCGTTGTGAATCTCTGTCCTCCAAGCTGGCCACCTTCCCTCACAATCGTTATTACTCAGTAAGCATAGCCTTATCCATAGACTGTGGTGGGTACTGTTGGGTGAGGGGACATAAGTCATCATGTCAGGAATGGCGGTGCACACATGGCCGGGGAATGCATTCCTTTTCCATGACAGACCCTGGTGCTCTTTACCACTGAGCTTGGAAATAGTCTCTGCATCTTCTCAGCACAGTGCTCCAGGTGGCCCCTACTATTTGAACAGAGCAGGCATGAGAGCTGAAATCATGAACCATCTTGATTTTAACCTGTGTCTCAGCTTATTGGTTAGCTCCCTAAGCCACTTAGGTTCTTTGGCTCTTGTGGTCTGTGGCCTCCCAGGCAGAGGTCCAATACCTCTATAGCTCTCTATAGCACAGGCTCCTTGGGACCGAACAGACCACAGAATGACTCCCCTCTAAAGACTGGCAGAAGTCTTTATGCAGCTGGGAGGCAAACTAAATAATGAACCTGTGTCTGTAGGGTGGCACTTGGAGGATGCAGGAATAAGTCAGTGATGAGTTATGTACCAAAGAAGGGCACAGCCCTCTCGCCAAAGCACAGAGGCCTCCCTAGAGTGTTCGTTTTCTTCCATATTTCTCATCATTCTTCACCCAACTGTGGTTTTTCTGAATCTCCCCAGATTGGTTTGGCCATCCACTCAAATCTGCTTCTGGTAGCTGGTGGTTTAGAGGATTCATATTGGATTGGCCCCATTGTTTATAAGGACCGGCTGCAGATTGATATACAATCCTCTGAGTAAGTTTGTTAGGACTTTTGGGGTATTTTCAACTCCATGATCCCCTCATAAAGACACAGTAATGAGATTGCCTCCCCAGAAGCTGTTCTCAAAACTTTCATAAATCAATATTGTGATTGTCTATTTGCCTGTTTCCCCTATTTGATTAATAACTCCTTAGGGCAATCTTATTTTCTATAATCCTCCATACCTAGAAGTCCTGGCACATGCTTTTTAAAAAAATAACTACTAGGGTTTTGAAAGCAAGAGATAGTGATTAAAAAACAACAACAACAACAACAAACTACTAGGTCTGTCCTATGCCCCCATCAGCTTCCCGGCTAATGAATGCCAGAATTCCAACTTCCTTCCCATCCCCTGACTAAGCTACCAAACTGAGGTTGTACTTTCTTAATAGGGACCACTTGGGTCAGTAGGGCTTTCCCAGGGAAGTGAGCAAGGGAGCAGTGGGGGTAACTTTGAGGATCAACCCCAGGGACCCTGAAACAGGGTGGCCACCTCCTTATGTTCCCTAACTGGAGTTTTCATCTTTAAGACCTCAGGTGATCTTTCTCTCCACTGGTCCTAAAACCTCTTCTAGTTGAAGTCCAGACATTTGTTCCTAAGTCATATCCAGATGTGGCCTTAGGCAGGCAGGGGGAATTAGTACTTGGGTCAGGTTTTATACAGGGCAAGGAGAAAAGAGAAGGTGGGCTAGGAAGGGTTCAGAGAATATCCTACTTCTACTTCACTACTCTTTAGGGTCCGTGTTGAAAACCAAAAATGTATGAAGTTACAAAAAAAGACGTGGTCCTATTCGAGGGTGGAATTCCAGCAAGAGGAATGTACAACTTCTCTTCCCTCCATCTGTGAGAGGACACCTTTCAGGTTTCCAGATGGGCACTGAGCTAGGTAAGCATGAGGGATAGGACTAAGATATGGGAAGTACAGGGGCAGAGGGTCTGAGCCCACAAGTGGGCCATGGTGGTGGGGAGGGCTGTACCTGGGCATGACTCTGCTTATACAAGGGTGGGCTGGGAAGGGAGAGGGGCAGGTAAGACCTAGAACTGAAGGGATGCTGGAGATGTGGCTATCCAGGAAGCTGGGGAAGAACCTAGTGAGTGGGATGAGGGTTTAGGGACAGTCAACTGCAGAACTCACTGATGCTTTACTCTTCCAGATACTTGAGCCAATAAGAGCCTATGCCTCTCAACCTGTGGCCTGCAGGTCTTATGATCATTCTGTTACTCCCTGGCACTCCCTCTTTCTTGGTAGAGCCCAGCCAAGGGCTGATCCACGCCTGGCACAACTAGCCAACCTACTGCCTGCTTAAAACCTTGTTCCAGAAACTGGACATTCCTGGGAAAACAATGAAGAAGCTTCTAAAAAGGACTTTGGCCTCCCCCTAGAATCTCCATAGTAGAATGAGGGGGTGGGAGGAGGGCGCATGGGCTGAGTGGATGGGGCAGCCCGGAGCCAGCCAGGCAGTTTTATTGAAATATTTTTAAATAATTGCACGTGTTAGTCTCATGTGTCAGCAATGCTGTGTCTGGTTCAGTGATCCCCAAGGGACAACAAGCCCAGGGCTGGACCAGAAGTGCTCTGTCCCTCGAGTCCACGCTGAGGCTCCCCTATACGGAGAGAAGAGCCAGTCAGCCCATCTGGGGCTGGCACTGTCCGGCAAGTGCACTGTGTCCTCACAGGGTGTCCTGAAGGCCATAGGTGGAGGCCTGAGAGCACAGGCCCCACTGCTAAGAGCGTGCCCCGGGCAGCTGCAGGCTGGGCGTGGGTGGCTTGGCGTGGTGCCCTCGGTGGCAGAGGAGACTGCCCGCCTCACAGTTCAGGTTGCGGTAGCGGGCAACAGCTGGTGTGGGGCGGGGGCACATGGACAAGAAGCCGAAGCTGAAGGGGCCGAGACAGCAGCCCGGACAGGGCAGCCCCTCGTCAGGCTCCCGGGGAGCTGAAGGGGGTGGTGAGGGTTCTGTCCGCTCTAGGGCTGCTGCCCGGGGCAGGCTGTGCTGGGCCCGGTTCCAGGGCTCCCCAGCCCAGCCTTGTGGGGAGTTAACCACCACAGCTGGGGGGTTGTTGTTGAGGGGAGGTCCTGATCTAGGGGACCAGGGTTGGGAGGCTGAGGAACAAGTGCTGATAAAGTTGTCTGTGGACACGGCCAGAGGCAGCTGGGGAGCTGGTCCTGGGAGTTCTGGCTCAGGGCTGCTGCCCCCACACTCCATAGTCTCTTCAGCTGAAGGGCCGACGGGGGGAGGGCCAGGACCTGGTAGTGCTGTCTCCATACGTCGCGGGAGCTCAGGGGATGAAGGTAGTGAGCGGCAGCGGCGGGCAGGTGTCCCAGGCTGGACCAGGTTCTCTGGAGTGGTCACTGAGGGCAGCTGGGTGAAGGGCAGTGGCGATGGTGGTACAAGGGGTAGGGGGGCGACTGGCTTGCTGGGTGTGTCCAAGAGCTTGATCTTGCCACCCCGGAGGTCTTCCCGTAGTGAGAATGGGTTGACTCGAGTCAGACTGTCCCCCCAGTTGGGGGGTGATTCTGGTGATGGGGGTAGGAAGAGGTCTGATCGGCTTCGGGAGAGCCGGGGGTCTGGCCTGGGAAGTGTAGCAGAAGGACCCCCTCTTGGAACAGACCCTGTAGACAGAGAAATCTGGGATCACTGTTCTCTGCATTTGCTCATAGCTCCCTGAGGGCTTCATTGTTTTCTCAGAGGCTGGCAGGACAGGAGTTTAGAAAAGGGAGACCCACAGTGTGCTTTTGTAAGGGAGGATGTCACCTCCACCCCCTTTTACCTTTTCTTTCCTTCTTCCTTTTCCTTGGCCTCTAGCATTAGAAAGCTGTCTTTGAGATATCCTTCTATCCACCCCACCTCGCCCTGACTCCCAATCTTCTTAACTAATAAACACACTTAAGCCTCCCCCATATAATTCTCTGAGTTCTATAGAGAGAAGCAACAAAGTGACTGCTGGGTCAAGACCATGCTCACTTACCTTGATTCTGTGTCAGGGGTGTCCTAGTAAGGGGGGCTGGCTCAGGCAGCTGCTCTAAGATCCATTCCAGGTGCTGGGTGATTTCAGAGAAGGGGGCACGGGTGCTGGGATCCATCTGATGGGTAGAGACAGGGACAGTGTCATTCAGTACGCCAAAAGGGGATCCCTGAGTTTTCTTCCCACCAGCTAGGACCAATAGGGCAGCCACGTCAGCTCAGGGATCTCAGGGATGGGGGTGGGAGAGAGGGCAAAAAGGACAGTGAGACTCTTACACTGCAGCAGTGGATGGCCAGGAGCAGGAAAGGCAGCGGGCAGTCATCCTCCACCAGGGTTCGGAAAGCAGGCACATCTAGGCCGAAATCCTATGGAGAAAGAGAGGAAGGGCCTCCTAGTCACCTTCCCTTGGGTTCTTCTGCATCCCAGTCAGGACCTGAACCTCCACGAAACCCTCCTTGGTTGTGGGCTGCCTCATCTGGAGTTCTTCCTTTTCAAACGTAGAGACATTTACCTCAGTGCGGGGTAGATAGTCAGGGTCTGCAGGTACTCGGGCGATGAGCTCACAGAGGACAATCCCAAAGGCAAAGACATCAGCCTGGGGTAGGAGATAATAATGTCAGGGGGAGGGATTAACAGTTTTCATTTCAGAATTTTTTTTTTTTGGCAGTTTTTGGCCAGGGCTGAGTTTGAACCTGCCACCTCCAGCATGTGGGGCCGGCGCCCTACTCCTTTCAGCCACAGGCGCCGCCCTTCATTTCAGAATTTTTTCAGAATATACCAGAATTAGGAGGAGGGGGTGAGTGTTTATAAACACAGTGTTTATGTGTTGGAAGGTGCCAGTGAAGGGCATGGGGAATCTTGAGGGCTCCTGAGTATCTACTAGGGTTCTTGTTGAGATGAAAGGGGCTTTTGGGGAGTATCTCACGGGTCTCTGGAGGGCTTGGAGATCTAAAATGTTGACATCTTACCTTCTCATCATATAGCTCACCCCGCAACACCTCTGGAGCCATCCAGTATGGGGAACCCACCACAGCCAACGGCTCCTTCCTTGCCCCTTCCCTGCAGGGGCAGGGTGGTCAGAAACAACCTCCACAGGCAAAAAGAGATGAAATGAACCCCCCTTATGCCCCAAGGGATATGCCCCTGGGGGCTTCACTCAAATAGAGGCCCTCTGGGAGATTTGAGGGGAATGGGCATTCACCTCACCTATACACAGGAATCTTTTCAGCCAGCCCAAAGTCACCCACGACAGCTGTGAAGCCTCGGTCTTCCCGTCGGATCAGACAGTTCTGACACACATACAGAGAGCATCCCAACACACCCATCACCTTCTGCTCTCTGGTCTCCTGATATACAACCTAAAGCCCTGTCACTTCAGCATATCCCCAACCCTCTCTAATCTCCCAGTGCTCTGGTGTACCCCAATATTGCAACCTCACCCAACACTCTAAGCACAGGGTAATACTCAGTCCCTCAGAGTACTTCCCGACCCCAGACCCCCAACATTCCTCAACACCTGCCTATTCTAACATCCCAATACATCTTGAACACACATTCCAACATTTACCGCCCAGTTACAACCTACTAGTCTCCAGCCCTGCCCCAGCCTACCTTGGATGTGAGGTCCCTATGGAATACACCTTTGGCATGCAGGTACCGCAGCCCTCGAGCAATATCTAAAGCCAGATGGAGCCTGACTGTCCAGGATAGGGGTTCAGGAGAGCTGAGCAGCTGTTCCAGGGTCCCCCCATTCATATACTGGGGCAAAGGAGAAGAGAATGAAAGTCAGGCTTCAGTGTGTATTCTAGGTCTCCCACTTATAAGCCAGGGGATACTCAGGAGGATCACAAAGAATGGTGAAGCTGTGCTCTAGGGCTGTCCTAGAACATGAATGGGGGAAGTTCAACTCAGTAGCCACTGGCCATATGCAACAATTAAATTAAAATACTTAAATTTAAACAATTAAATTGAATTTAAATAATTAAATTGAACTTATTTAAATTTAAATATAATTAAACATTTAGTTCCACACCAAGCCACATTTCCAGTGCTCCAACCTAGCCATATGTGGCTAGTGGCTACAGTATTGGACAACACAGCTTGAGAACATTTCCATTCCTGCAGTAAGTTTTGTTGGACAGCACTCTTTTAGGAGATAGAGGGAATGAGACCAACTGAGGCCTTTTATATGTGGTTTGCCTGAAGGAAAGTTCAGGGACGCCTCCCCAGGGAGGAGGTCCTGTTGCCTCTCATTATTCCTCTGTAGATCCATCAGGCCCGCCCACTCCCTTTCTCCTTGGTGGGGTGTGTGTGTGAGGGGGAGCCCCCCTTCCTGGCCTATCCTCACCTCTGTAAGAGCGTGCAGCTGTCCCTGGTGCACACAGACCCCCATGAACCTAGAAAAGGATAGAGAAGATAGGACGGTAGGCTGTAAAAGCCTTCACTCCTCCATAGTTCCCACTTTTCCTGTGGGATTTTCTCTTTTCTATCCTGCCCAGCAAGCCGCTGGGGCCGCTCACCTTAGGATGTTAGGGTGCCGGAGCCGGTTCATCAGCTGCACCTCCCGTAGCGTGTTGCCCCGATTACTGGGGAGCTTGTTCATCTTCAGCACCATGACTTGCCCTGACTGTCGGTGCCGAACCTGGGGGCGGCAGGGGCTGGCGAGTGCTGGGCAGATCGCCTGAGCCCGGGTCCTCTTTCCCTCACTCCAGGCCCCCTAGTTACAGACTCCCATTGAAGGATCGGTCCCGCCCCTCTGCCCTCTTGGTCGGTCCTACCTTGTATACCTCAGAAAAGAAGCCGGCCCCGATCTTCTCCGCGCAGTGGAAATCGTCCACGCGCGCCAGGCTGGACACAGCGCTGCGGAGAGCCCGGTAGGAGGAGGGGCGGCCCCGGCCCGGGCCTCCGCCTGCGCCCCCCGGCCCCGGGGGCCCCTCCCCCGGCGCCTCTCCGGGCCCGGGCCCAGGGCCCCGCAGTGGGGGCCGTTCCCCGGCCATGGCCGGGCCCCCAGCCTGGGCCTGCCTCACATGGCAGGGTCCCCGGGGCCCGGGCAGGCCGCTTTCGCCATTGGCGCGGGCCCAGCCCGATCCCGGGCGCAGAGACTCCCTCTCCCGCCCCTAGAATGGAAGATCTGCCTAAGATCTTGGGCCCGCCCCCGCCGCACCCGCTTGCTGGGCTAGGGTGGACGCCGGTCCGCTTCGCGAAGGGCCTGGACAAGGCAGCGTCTGTGGTGGCAGCGGCGACGACCGTGGCAGCGGCGCTCCCGGGCGCCGGCGGGCTGGTTCCCAGCAGGCGGAGGCGGGCGGGCGGCGGCGTCGCGGCTTTGCCGCTGGGGCTGAGGCTCCGCGGCCTGCCGGGGGCGGGGTTGGGCCAGGCCTCCGCTTAACTCCTTCTAGCCCGGCCTCGGGGCAGCAGCCACGCCCCCTCAGGTACGCACCCCCATCCTCATCCCCTGGCCTCTACGACTTGGCGGATAGGTCAGCCGCGCGGGCCGGAGCTTGAATAACTGAAGGGAAGTAAGGGCTGATGGTGCGTACACGAAGCTCAAACGTCTTTTAGTTGCCCTGGGAGTTCTTTCTCCCCTCCTTCGGGTCACTGTCCATAGAGGGCCGGGCTCAGGAACCTGCCCAATCCTTGGGCTCTGTGGAACAGCAGGTCAGAAAAGTAGACCTTCAGGCCCAAGCTCAATCAGAGGCAGCCCAACAACCTGTCCACCTTCCTGGCCTGCGCCCCGTCCAACACTGCCCATTTCCCAAGTCTCTTTGACCCCTACACTTAAGTCTCTGGACTCCCTAACTCCTTCTCCTCTCTTGAGGGGTTATGAAACCCCAGGGCTGTAGGGAGCCCTTGGCCGGCCCATCCCTGGATTGGCCCTGACTCCTCCTCACTCCATCCCGCCTCCGCCGACTAAAGTTCAGATTCCACGGCCCCCGCCCAGTGACCACCCAGCCGGGATCTTCCTCTGACTACCCTGTCCAAAAGACCCTCTTACGAGAAGCCGCTACCTGCAGGGAAGCCCCTCCTCCGAGATCCCACCCCTCAGCAAGAACTGGCCCCCTCAAAAACCGCTTCCCCCCACCCCAGTCTTCCTTAGCGAGATTTCTCCCTTTTAGGGGGACCTTTTCTCAGTATGATATCGCCACCATCAGTGTGTACCAGCAACCCTCAAGTGTTGCACCCTCTCCTCTGTGTGTGCCTCCTACGCAGAGAGACCCACCTCTCGGAGTGACTCCGTCAGTCATTGTGACCCCTCCTTTCAAGGTGACTCCTCCCCTCAGTGCGGCCCAACCCTCATCAGTGTGACCCCCCTCAGCAGGTTCCACCCTCCATCACTTAGGAATCCGGTCTGCCCCCTCAGGCCGGAGGAGGGTATGCAGCTGGTCCCTTTAAGTTGTCGCCGGGGTCCTGGGTGCGCACGCACAGTATTTAGACACTGTACGCTCGCCGTACCCGACGTTTCCGCTTTTGCTGCTAGCTCCTCCCTCCGGGCCATCCGCGAAATAGCCAATCGTCTGCAGTGTTGGGTGCAGTAGTAGGGTTCCCGCTGTAGACTGCTCACCTAGCAGTTTCGGGCGTCGGTGAGCCGCCTGCCACCTAGCGGCTGCAGGGAGGGCCGAGAGTGAAAGCTGAGAGTCTCAGTTGCGGAGGCAAGGCTGAGAGCTGGAGGGAGTAAGGCAGAGTTGTCGTTAAGATTTTCAAAGTTTAGGCAGCGCCTGTGGCTCAAGCGGCTAAAGCGGCAGCCACATACACCTAAGCTGGTGGGTTCGAATCCAGCCCGGGCCCGCCAAATAACAATGACGGCTGCAACCAAAAAAAA